ATCAGTACAATTCAATATTGTTAAATTAGTTAAATTTTCTAGACCGACTATTCTAGTAATTTGATTTTTTCCAACCTTTATCTCAAACAATAATTTACAGGAGATTGGCAAAATTGAAGAAAGAGAAAGTAAAAATTGTGGAGGAAAAATAAAAAGCAGTTTCAGCTGATTTTTTGGCTAATAGTAAAATTAAAACAAAAAATATGGCCCGCCATTCACACGCTGCAAACGTTAAATGAAGAAAAGACCGTCAAGCCGAACTTCGCAGCCAAGAACACCAAAAAGCCCGAAACAAAATCGAACTGCTTATCCAGCAAGAAGGAAGAGTTTCGGAAAAAGCGTTAAGTATAGCCCGGGAACATAGTTTTTCCAAGGAAAAAGTTTATCAGATTTGGGGAAAAATAAAAAGCAAGAAAGATTCTCATGCTTTTGCTCGTGCCCTTTACCAAGCTCCTTTTGGTATTTTGCTCTATGTGGAAGGCAACAATAATATTACTTCTGATTATGAAAAAAAACTAAAATTAAAAAAATTACCTCTCGCCTCGCTTTTTGGCTATTTCCAACCAGTTTATAGTTTAAAAATAAATTTAAAAGAAGCTAATAATAATCTTGAGGAATATTTAATTGCCAGTTTACCTAGCGAGGTTTGGGAAAAAGTAGATTATAATGAAGATAAAAAAGAACTCATTTCTCGTTACCGGGAAGAATTAGAAAAAATTAGTAAAAAATTAGAAATAACACAGGAAAAATCCTGGTGGGAGGCGTTAGTTCCTTGTCAATTAACTACCAAAGAACAAGTTGATTATTATCAAGAATTAGAAAAACTCTTAAAAGAGGGTAAATTTTATACTAATATCCAAAAAGAGGGATTGTAGCTCAGTTGGTTAGAGTGCACCCCCGATAAGGGTGAGGTCGGTGGTTCAAATCCACCCAGTCCTACCAGTTTTAACCTAAGTAAAAGAAATAATAATGAGAAAAGAAAAAGAAATTTATTTCTGATTAATTTTAACTATGGTTGAGAAAAAAAGAGGGTAAATTTTGGAACAAACCAAGTTTAAAAATTTAACTAGTTATAAAATTAATATTATAAAAAATAATTATGTCAAAAGAAAGACCTAGTACGCCTCCGTTACATGAGGAAATAGATATAAAGAACGAAGAGGCTCAAAAATGGTTAGAAAAAAACCACGGAAATAATAAAGATAGCGTGACTGAAATAGGAGTTAATATAACATTTGATGAAGTAAAGGTGAAACTGACCGGTAGTTTGCTAATCAGCGATTATTCAGAACTAAAATCAATTGATCTTTGGGAGGGAGAAATAACTGAACTGATTATTAAAAATTGTCCTAAAGTTGAAGAGATAGAGGTTGGAAAAAATCAAATTACTAGAATAGTCGGTCTAGAAAATTTAACTAATTTAACAATATTGAATTGTACTGAT